ATCTACAAAACGAAAGTAAGTTTCGATGTCCATCAAACAAAAAGTTGAATTCCTGCAAAAAATGGATAAAGACATGAAGAAGGTGACAGAGAGGTTAGTGAAAAACGAAAAAATTTCGATTGACAAGTTAGTCGGTATTCTCGGCACACAGCAATTACGGGACTTGAACAGCGGAACTTTGTTACTGAACAAGAATTATGTCTGTTTATAGAATTAAAGAAAAGTATTATCACATAAAATGAAGCAACTTAAACAACTTACATTGACAGAAATGTTTAATAAAGTAAAACAAATAAATATTAAGCTTTTTTTTTTTTTTTTTTTTTTTTTTTGTAAATTTTGATACCCTTTAGATCATAATTGTTCTTTATTTTCATAAATTAGGGTTTCATATTTTTAATTTTAGAATTTCTTTTCTGCATCATCTTACGAGATTTAAACTGATGATCTATAATCCGGAAAAATCGATAATCCGGAATCGCCGAAGTCCCGACGAGTCCGGATTAACGACTTTTGACTGTATTGCATTTATTTTATCTCTAATGGTAAACTAACACACTGTCCTTGTAATCCTAAATTTAATTAATTTAACTTTCCAAAGATATCAGCTAAATATGCTAAATGTACTAACCATAATTCACTAAATAAACATTTTTGCAATTCAAATTTTGAATCACAGAAGAAAATTTCAGGGTTCATAGAAACATTTTAGTTAAAAAAATAAGCACCTATAAGCACTTTTCAAGCACATTTTAAGAAAAAAAATAAGCACCTGTCTAATTACATTACACACAACTGCATAACCTTAAAAGAAAAATTAGACTTGCAATTTAAAATTTGAGCAATGCAATATTTATTAAGAGAATGGGCATTACCTCAACCATGGAAAACAATTAACTTTTTTTTTTATTTTAAATGACAGTTCAATTTACAGAATTAGTTTACAATGAGGGGAAAAAAAACTATGCAGAATTAAACTATATTACAAGATTTAATGATGAAATTTCAGTTCAAAATATAGAAAATAAATAATAATAAGCCATATTAATTGTATTCGCTTGGCACCTAATAATAAATACAATTTATTTTTCCACTTATATTAATATTTAAATAATTTAACTTAAATCAAAATTCTGAACATTTTCTAAATTTTCATTGCATAACAGTTTTCCCTTAGAAATTATTTTCATTGCATTATTATGTTATGAAATTTAATTGAATTGAAATGAAAATTTAGAAAATGTTCAGAATTTTGATTTAATTAAATTATTTAAATATTAATATAAGTGGAAAAATAAATTGCATTTATTATTAGGTGCCAAGCGAATACAATTAATATGGCTTATTATTATTTATTTTCTATATTTTGAACTGAAATTTCATCATTAAATCTTGTAATATAGTTTAGTTCTGCATAGTTTTTTCCCCCTCATTGTAAACTAATTCTGTAAATTGAACTGTCATTTAAAATTAAAAAAAAAAAAAAAAAAAAGTTAATTGTTTTCCATGGTTGAGGTAATATATTCCAAGCAAAGTAATTTAAGTAAAAAAGAGGAACATTTCTGAAATCAGGAGACGGGAAATTGCTTCATGCAGTCATCCTTTAACAGTAAAAGCTTAACTAACCCGCATACTCGGAAATTGCCGAATATTCCGTATAGTCGAGCGTAACTGGAAAAAGAGGAGGGGGGGAGATTGTAGCTGTTTTTTAGATTTCTCCGCTAAATTAATGATTTTGACATTTTGATATGTGCATCATATAAACATAGACCAACGGAACTGAGAAACATTCTGCTTAGAAAGCACAGTAAAACTCTTTTAAGTGTTCATAACTAAATATCAGACTGAACATCAAAATTAATTCTCTCTGCAAAATACCCCAAACGTTATTGCGCAATACGTGCGGCGTAATTCTTCCATACGTGACATTACGCAATCGGAATCAACAGCTGCCACTATTCGGAGAATAAAGAACTAAATAAAGGAAAAGAAAGAGACTTACTAATCTGGGGTGTTTTTGATTCTAATTTTGAACAGACTGCATTAAATTTCCGGAATAGAATCATTCTTCGCTTGGGTTGGGTAGACCGCAAAACTTTTAGTCCTATTCAATCCAGATTGGACAGTGACAAAAAAAAAAAAAAAAAAAAAAAAGTACGCTGTTTTAATATTGGAGATTTTGCAGAGAAAGGGGAGAACCTCCCAACCTCCGTACTGTATAATGTATTGGAAAAAAAAAAAAAAATATTATTCTGACTATTCAATTACTTTCCTTTTATTTAAGCCATTCCGAATATTATTCCTTAGAAAGCTAATCTGTGTAAAAATAAACCCATTTTTGGAAGTTTATCTATACTTCAGCAGCTACTGCAACTATATTATTATAAATATTCATATATATACATATACTCATAATATAAGCATAATGATCATAATAAACACAAATATGAACTGACCACGCGGAACGAGAATGCAAATTATTAAAATCTTGATAGAAATTCAAACGTGTGTAGTATTTGGGTGGGAGGAAAAGAATGCCGAATGCACCGGAATTTCCTACGGTTTTCGCAACTCTTTGACCAATAGAACGATGTGCACCTGTCTGTACTCTCGCGCACACCATAGGTTACAAGCTATTTCCGGGAGTATGATTCATCATCTGACGTTCCATATAAGGAAGAAAAGTTGTTTATTTAGTTTCGGCTTTGGTAAGTGTGGGGGGGGAAGCGCATTCATTAAAAAAAGCACTAAAAGAATAAAAGAAAAAAAAAAAAAACCACTAAAACCAAAAAGTAAGGGCTTTAAAGAAAAAGTAAGCACCCATAAGGGCCTTTATATTTTATTTTAAATTATAAGGACTTATAAGCACTTGTAAGGACCACTACAAACCCTGAAATTTGAATTTCTGATCAAAGTTCAAAAAGATGATCTAAAACTTCGCCTCTAGATAGTAACAACAAAAGCATTTCATGTTCAATGCCCATCTCTTATCATAAAATTGTAAATATTTTTAAATTTCAAGCTCAGTTTTTAATAAAATTAACAATCTTTAAATGTTGATTGAAAACAATTTTCAGGTTTACGGGGATTGTTTTCGCTACTAAAGCTTTGTGATAAATGAAGCAGTGAGTAAATTCAGTTTCAAGTGCAATTTTCATTATTTGAGAAATAACACCAGAATGTTTTCCTGTTAAAGCCCAAGCTCCGTCACTGCATATAATAAATAAAGGTAACACAGAAAATGCTAAAAAAACACCCCTTTGGGCATAATGTAAAATCTGAAGCCTTTCAGATTTCCCCCCTTTTTCTTTCTTTCGTTTTTTGTATGCTTTACCTACGTGCATTTATTGTTTTTTCATAATAAAACATGGAAAGTTTCAATTATTGATTTTACTACAACACCAAATAAAATATCTCATATTGATAAAACAATCATTTATTAGCATAAATCTGTATGATGAATGATTTGGCTCTTGTAGCTGCTTTTTTGCTTGGCATACATCTCAAACTGAAACATCATTGATTTTAACACCTATTGAATAATTTAGATGCCTGATGCCAACCTAGCAAACCATTATTTATAATAGTTTGCTTTGATCACCATATCAACACACAGTGGCTTGAGAAATGACTCTGCAACGATGTCCAAACAACTTTTTAAAAAAATATTAGTAACTGAATACGAAACAGCATGGTGACCCTTTATGTTGATATAGGCTTGGCGATGGTTACTGACTTCAGCTAACTGCATTGAGAAGTGCTGAATGCAGAGATGATGAACTTAATAGAAATTTCTTTTCAGTGCAAAAAATAGACTTTGTAAGGGATAAGACAAAAGATTAAATTTAGTGCTGTTTGAATTGAAAAATAACTGATCTGTTGTTCAAACAAGCCCGAACCTCAGATCTAAATGGTACTGCAGGATTTAGGAAAGGGAAAAACTTTCAGAATTTAGAAGCACCGAGTACCAAAATTATGAGATGGCAAAATTTTTAGAATTTAGGGGGCCTTGGCATCAGATTTAGTACCTGCAAAGACTGCAACAGGCCACAGAATATCTAGTGCAGGCACTGGATAAGCCTTAAATTATATGTGGGAATTTATTTATTTGGGATTAGATAGCAAGTGCAGTAAATAGGTATAAGTATAATAAATAACTTAATTAATATAATTCGGGCATAATTTCATCAGCATATGATAGAAGCAAGGCAAAATTTAGCAGAACAATATGTCTTTAGTCACCTATCTCATGATATATTGCCAATACTATACAGCACACACTAGCTAAGCTCATGATGAGTGCAGCGAATTTGAAGGTTTTCAGGTATTGCAAACAAAAAGTAAAATTTTTCAATCAGTACAATTTCTGCAGAAGTGATAATAAATGAAGATGATATAACAGAAGATTTCTCATTGTGATGGCAATAGCCTAATCATCAATCAACTAATGAACAGCAAAATCTGTAGTATGGTTCTAAAGTCAAAAAATATTGCTACTAACAGTGAAGAAAGTGACAGGTTGTTGAGAACAAACGAAAAAAAAGGGGGGGGAGTCTGAATCTCAGACTTTATACTGTGTTAACAATTTTTATGCATAATTGCTACAATTTAATAAATATATTTGAAATAATGAAAAGTGTAAGTTTCAAACCCTTTAATTTTTACAGCATCTCATATTTATTTTTAATATTAAGGTTAGTTAAATGAAATCAAATTTAATGTGTTAAACATATCTTAAGATTAAAAAAATAAATAAAACAGATAATGTGCAGACTAAGATAAAATTAAATACATTTTTATACCAATATTTTTACTAATACAGAAACAGTAAACAAGTCTCAGGCACATCATTTAGCAAGATACATTATAAACAGCAGTTACCAGACAATCAAGCTAGTGCAAAATTTTAATGAGTTTGAAAAATGATGCTTTTAATAAGAGAGTATTAACAAACATTTTATGACTTGTAATATTAATATTATGATATTTAAAAAACATACCTTCATAAACTGAGCTTGTTGAGCTTTCAATCTATTACAGGCTGTAGCAATGGAAACAAAAATTCCATAATGGCCAGATTTTAATATTTCTTCAAAGAGCTTTCCAATAGCTTCACACATTATTTCAAACTATTAAATAAATAAATAAATAAATAAATAAAAAAGTCCAATTAGACCTCTTATCTTCTGTTTATCTGAATCACTTTTACAAATGAATCACAAACACAGTAAAAATAACCATATTGTATTAAGCAGAATGAATGCAAAGTCAGATAAAAAAAATACTTGGCAACAAAATTACTCAGCTGACAGAATGTTTTGGTCTAAAAATGATGTTATCCAAATGATGATTTTTCTCCATATCCATTCCTTGATTCTGTCAATGAAGCTCTGACATGTCACTGAAACATTATTAAGAATATGGTGCTAAATTAGAGAAAAACTATTTGATTCAGATCAGCAACTATTTAGGATTACTCAATGAAAAGTTTGCTTTCAAGACATTCCCAAATGAAGAAGCCATAGACAGAGATCTGGCGACATTAGTGGCCGTAAAATGTCACCATATGGGAAATGACATATAAAAAACCTATAGTTGATAACTGCCACTACAATTCTCACTGCATAGATTTGTAATCCATCCTGCTGGAACAACACAGGATGTAGATGAATGCAATGTTTATAAAGTTTTGGCACATGGAAAATGTGCAACACTGACATATAGCATCTGCACACACAAGCAATAACATTGTCTGCCAAAAAGCATGTGCTAATGACCCAAATTTATATACATTACATACATAGTTCCATACTACTGCCAAGCCTGAAGAGGCTGTTCGTGCAAATGTTGCAAGTATTGCAGATCTGTTCCAGTCTTATGTGTTCACATTTCAGTCTTGTATGTTCACATAAGAAAACAGACTTTTTTTTCCTCTTATAAGAAGAGCCACCTTGATTGGTATAATGGTTAATGATGCTGTTGGCAACCACATTTTTCGACCCAGGTTCGAATCCTATAGCAGTCCAAATATTTAAGAAAAGTAGAGAATATTGCAGTTAAAATGAATGCTGATTGCAGCTAAAATTTTGCAGTAATCATAAAATTTTAGTTTATTTTAGAAAAGATTAATTTATTATAAATTAAACAAAATAAGAACCGACTTCAAACAATAAAGAGAAAAATTATTTAAATTGTAAATTTTGAAGAATCAATCTTATTGTTTTTCTAAGTAATTTAGATTAGCATAAATGAATTCATATACTTCCAACAATTAACTAAACTCTTTAATTCAATTTGAAATAAATTAACAATGACAAAATGAAAAGCAGTAATTTTTATGTTGTTTACAAGTAAAAAAGAGTAGGGAAAATTCTGAACAAAAAATACATATATAATCAATGGCTATTATCAGAGGAAAAAAAATAAATAAAGGAGAATATGCCCATAAGATTCAAGCTAAAGAATTTTCTTATAATTTCAGCACATTAATTTAATGTTTAAAATGAATTAAATATACTTAAACATTTCGAAATATGGTACGTACTTGTGATTTGCTTACAGTAGCATTAAATAACCTTTGAAGCAAGTAATTACCAATAGGATGCGCTATTAGTTGCTCTAAGTAATTTGCAACATATTCATTCCAAAACATAAGCTGGATATCTTCATCTGCAGCCATAAGAAGATTCTCTATTACATAGGAACAGTTTTTATGCAGCAATGCATAAGGAATGCTACAACATAAAAAAAGCTATTAAAATGCTATATTAATTTAATAATGAAACCATTCTAATATACAAAATGCTTATTATGTTATGCTTAGCATAATGATTATTAATGTTATGCTTTCTTAACATATTTACACTGAAACAATTCGAAGAAAGCATTTTTGTCACATGTATTATACTAGCAATATTTTATAGGGAAGATATATACTCCATTAATAAAGAAATTATATAAGCTAAAAATGATAGTACATATTTAAGAAATGATAAGATCTTTAAGAAGTGAAACTTGTGAAGTGAATTCATCATGTTAAATTAGAGAGTATACAAATCTATAAATCTTTATCCACCCGTGACATAATTTGATCATGAACTTATCACTTATTCAGCCTTATCATTTTTATATATTGCCCTTCTTGGTTGAGACTTCATTTCGAATTTTTGAAGTGAACATGAAAGCTTTTCTTTAGATTGCATATTTGTCATTTTCTTTCATGTCATTTCAGCATCTTGAGATACAGTCTTGTTGAAGTGAATTTTAACTTTACAAAGAGGAAAAGTCAAACAACGCATGGTCAAGGAAACATGAAGCTGGGAAAATAAGTTTGTTTTGGTATAAAAGTCATGAATCAATGCAAAAGATCTGTTTTTGTGATGGAAGAACCAGTATTTGCTTACTCATAATCTGCATCATTTTCTCTTGAAATTTTCTTGTAGAATGTCTCAGTACTTTTAGATGATAACATCTATTCATTTTTAGTCCCTGTGGTAAAAATATCTGATGTAATACACCCTGGATATCAAAAAAGGTTGGTGAATATGATCTTCATGTTTGATGCAATTTGCTAACTTTTCTCTCATTTTGGGGAATTTTATTGAATATACTATGAAGATTGCATTTTCGTTTTGACTTTGGAGCCCTAAACCCAAGCCTAATCACCAGTGATAACTTTTCATGGAACTTCAACACTTCACCATGCAATCTACTAACTTTTGGTAAAAGGAAAAATTTTGCAGTTATTTAGTCCATTTGCAATTTTTCACTCAAAATATAATGAAAGAATCTAACGGAAAAGTAATTACTAGTGATTTCTCAAACAATCAGTCTATTATTTGAATATAAAAGTGTGTGAAATTTGGTTACATCAATGTCATCATTAACATGCTGCAAAAGTTCAAAAGCTTTTTAAACAGATTTTGTACATTGTAGGAGAATGAGAAAAAAGACGCATAAACAAAAATATCAGCATGCACGCACACACAAACGCGCAAAAAAAAAAAAAAAAAAAAAGAGGTGGGAAAGAGAAAAGAAAAAGAAATACAGTGCATGAATATGCCTTTGGTCAAAGTAGTTAACAGCTGGCTTTATGAAAAGTGAAAGTAGTAAATGATTCCTAAGCTTAGATTTTGAAGCCAAAATAAATATTTTGTGTTTTAAACTACCATATAAAATTTCTTAATAATTATAAATACTATATGCCTCAATCATAACAGCATTTCAATCCAAGAATGCAGTACACATTGACTTATGTATTAAATTAACCATTCCTAATCTTTTACTTATTCCTCAGACCTAGGAAATTTTTCATCTATATTTACACATTAGTAGCTGACTCTGTGATTATTTTTCACTTAAGGCCACAGACCACTTTTTTATTGCATTCCAAAAAAAGAGCTCCCTGGATTAAAATAAAAACTTTTAAATATGAATAATACATAATTATTGTATAAATCATTAACTCACCACTCTGCATTTTTTTCAGAACATATTTTCATTATTAATGCAGAAACAAGTTTTTTACACCTCTTTGGAAGTCTTTTCTTTAATATAAACAGAAGAGCTTCAATAACAACACCAGCAGAACTATCAGTAGCATAATCTAAATAAGAGAAAAATTATTATCAAAACAATTTAATAAAAATCTGATGTAGACACCACATGACTTCTTCGTACAACCTATTAAATTATACACTCTTTTTGCTGTACTTCATTTAAACTTATTTCCTTAAATATTCTAACTTAATTGACCAATCCTTCAAGGCAAAAAGGAAAATAACATCAAAAATTGCAAATTTTGAAATTAAATATTATGGTCAATTAACCAATCATTCAAGGCAAAAGAGAAAATTACATAAAAAATTACAAATTTGGAATTCAAATATTACGGTCAGTTTTTGTCTTAGGAGAATATGATGAAAATTTAAACTGACTTTCTTACTGTCATACTTCTTATAACTTTATTTTTTCATAACATGTATAAAACTTTCCCAAATATAAGATACAGGAAATTGTCGAAAATTAATTTTTTAAAAAAATTCAACATTGCGAAAACATGAATATTTTCATCATTTAAAACACTTTTGTAATTGAAAGTATATGGCTACGACCAAAGGACTCTGAAAATAAAGGCCACATAAGGACATTTAAGCTGGATAAAGGGGCGGATGCATATACATATGTTTATATAATATAAGGATAAAACATATACAAATGTTTATATAAGTGCAATAAAAAAGAAAGATGCACAACTAGGCATTATAGCAGTTCAATACAAAAATTTCAATGTTCTACAACTAATCGTTTTTCAGTTATGGTGAGATACATAAAGCATGGCTTAATCTTTTGAGACAAGCATATGACTACTGGCAGTAACAACCAGGTAGCAAAGCATATTTACGATCACAGAACATTCATGCTGCATACAACTTGAATCTGCCAGTGATACAGCACACCTTGGAAATGTGCATGGAGCGACAGTCCAATGATGTATCCTTCTTTTATTTCACACACACAGAATCTTACCTCATGCTTTCAATACAGGTTCAAAACTCACTACATCCTTCACAGCATCAGTGCTGCTAGGTAAGCCTTTGTGGGCATCGTGAAGCTTTACTGCATGGGATGTAGATACGAAAAAAAAAAAAAACTGAAAGCTTTCAGATTTTAAATTACATCTAAAGGGGCGGGCTTTTTAACATTTTGTGTCTTACTTTTATTTATTAAATATTCTGTTCTTTGCCCTTAAACCATAAAATTCAATTCAACAGCAATATCAATCAATATTTAAGAACAGCATATCTTTAGAATTTCCGATACGTAGTCTCGCATGCTGGAGATAAAAATGTTTTTTTCGTACAGTGTTGCCATTGCTTGCTTTAAAATCATTCAGTTTCTTAACCAAAAATTCATACATGCTTTAGAAAATATGAAATAGATAATAAAACAAATTCCAAATTTGGGCTTGCAAATGCCCACATTCGGGTTAGGACGTACATTATTCAAAATTTGATGGCTCTAGTTACTGTTGTTTTATCACAATGTGAGAAACATACATACATTTGTGCAAATTCTTCATCATTTAATTACTTTAAACATAACACTGAGCGATAATACTTGGTGGCAACAATTTGAAAAGTGAAATGGATACTAATTCAGAAGTCAAACAACAAAAAATCAGCATTATATTTACAAAATTTTCACTGGACTAGTTTCGATGGTTTTACCAAACCACCATCTTCAGCTGCAAAACCTCAAAAATTTGCGGTTGTTTGACTTCTGAATTAGTATTTATTCAGTGTGTTATTGTGTCTTAATTAGTGAAATGGATGTTTAAAGTTTTCGACACAAAATGCCAAACGAAATTAATAGCAATTCTGGGCTAAAAACTTTTTTCTGTTTCTTATTACATCTCTGCATAGTGCAGTAATGGCACTGCAGAGACGCACAGAGGCCAAGCTGCTTGCAGACGTGCTGAGAAAGTTACGTAAATATGTACAGATGTCAAGGAAAAATTCCTTCTGAATCCATCTTGGAAAAAAGAACATTTTTATTCTATCTGTATGTACAAATGTCACACAAAAAATCATCTAAGCGGATCCAGGAGTGACCAAATGGATATTTTCATTGAAATACGACACCTGAAATTTTTCGTAATTACAATATTTTGTACAAGGCAGTAAAAATTATGGGGTCAGTCAACATAAAAAAAAGACATTTTTACAAAATTTCTGGTATATTTTTAGTATTTGGAGAACTATCTTAACAGTTGACTCACATATGTGTCAACTGGAATAGTAAAAATAAGTTAATAATATAATCTCACACATGATAAGGAGAAAGGAAGCCATCTTAACCATAAAAATGAAGCACTATATATTTTTAAATATTTAAAAATACATACATAAAGCAGTATAATTTATATGAAAACGCAGGATAATTCAAAATAAATGGCACAAAATGAAAATATACCTGTGACTGTCACAATTAATTTATTTCCGTAAATCATACATTATATAACAGTTTAATACTTGGAAGTTTTATTTAGCACTACTCAAAAGCTCAGCATTTCTTAAATGTTCACTTGAGCCAATGATATTCAGATTTAGGAACAGAGAAAGAAAAAGTTTATTATGCACAAGAACACAAAAAATTCCCCTGGCAATCAATGATATAGATATTTCTAGATGAAATTTGTTGAAGAAGCAACCCATAAAATGGGTAAGACAGTTAGGAAAGGAGCTACTAATGTATGCAACACGATGGTTATTCATCAATGAAGTGATGGAGAGAACATTGATGTGACTTAACCTATGGATCCCTAGCAGATCAAAATATCATGCTAGCATGAGTCATAGATGCTGCATTTATGCAAATCCGATAGCACAGAAGCAGTAAACTACAGGTTGTTAAATCAGCAAAGCAATTACTTTGGCATAGATTGAGTCAAGAACTCAATCAATTTCGAGAGCAAACAGGTACAAGTCCCATTTCAATAGAAACAAAGAAATCTGTCAGATTCTGATGAAGGCATATTTCTTTGCTCCTGATGAAGAGAGATTTGTACTTGTTTGCCATCAAAATCAATAAAGTTTTTGACTAAATTTATGCCAAACACAAGGTTGTTGCTTTTTCGATTTTAAGTTTTACTTTTTCTCTTCCATATAGGCTGTCATTTTAAAGTACGCAGGCACTTTATGGTTGGTACTGATTTTTCCCTCATTCATGATCACACCATGTGTTGTCATCATTGCATAGAAGGGACTGCAGGATTTTAGCAAATTACACAACTTGACCTATTGCTAAAGCTGTCATTGCCTTGGATATGAGGCATACCAGAAGGGGGTATAGCTTTGAACTGCCTATTCTAAATAACAGACTACAATCTAATATTAAGGCAAATGAGGTACTGAATTTAGGCCCAGAAATATTTCTTCCTTCAGAAAAGCTCAAGAAACTAATTTCCTGCAAACTTTTTACCAGTGTTCTCATTCAACAGCCCCCCCCCCCAATTTAGGTAGTACTTACAAGCTTTATAAGTCACAAGCACAAATGAATGAGTTTAATGAAACTACTTTGGGCATTAATAGCCAGTGGCATTACAAATTCCAATACATAATGCAATTTTTTCTTTCATCATTCACTTACTTGGTTTATTTATTCATTTTGAACTCTTATGGGTATTTTTGAACATCTTATTTATGTCTTGTAGAAAAGTTTTATTTTTCCCTACGTGAAGAATATGTACATTGTTAGTTATGAACAAGGATATGGTTCAGGTAAAAACTATTTCCACCATAAAATATCTTACCTAAGACACTGTCCAACTTTTTTATGCATTTTGCAATCTTCTTCAAGATTTTAGCAAATGATTCAGGTATTTGATCAAGAATAAGTACTGAATTTTGCTCTTCAGTTCCAGAAACGATTTTCCCTTTAAAAAAAACTATCATTATAAACAAAAATGGTTGTTTTTAAAGTATAAGAGAGGGGAATAAAGCATTCTAAAATTGCATATTCATACATTTTACTTAATTACTATTTAATAAATATGATTTTTTGAATACATTTTAACATACATTTTAACATTCCAGCATGATTAAACATTCCTTACCATGTACTAACATCTTTATTTATACCTATAAACTTTCAGATTAATCTAATTAAATAATTCAACTTAAAAAAACCCACAGATTAAAAAAAGATATAGAATAATAATACTTGTCACATTTAAAACATACTTGACACAATCAGCCACAGAAGATAACATATATACTAGTGGACAGTTAAATTTTTAGTTCTCTGAGCAAAGTGGAGTCTAAAATGAAAACATTATTTTGTGGTTTGCCAAAAAGGCCATATGTAGGTTTGAAGCATCAGATTTACATCAATATTATCATTAGAGGAAAATATTTTTGTTCAAAAAATTTTCTTTATTAAAGCAGTAAATTAATTTTATTTCTGTTTGCCACATCTCTTCAGTACTTCGCTCTTATTTCTGACATAATTTACCTTACAAAAGCATGTTAGTAACATAAATTATTCTGCAAGCAATTGATTTAGTTCACTACAGAATGTAACTTAATTTGATGAAATTTCTAAACATTTAGTAGACATGTGTTGAGCACAGTTTCAACATACAAATCTTTAAAAATAAATTAATTCTTAAAGTTACCCATGGAAATGGAGATACAAGGTAAGCAAAAACGTTCTTGCCCTTTTGAAGAGTCAGAAAGAAAAGACATGAAACAAATAATAATCACCACTAATCCTCAAAGTAATCACCATCGGCATCCAGTGCCTTTTGCCAATGAGTGATTAGCTGTGCGATGCCATTATGGTAAAACACAGGAGCTTTGGTTGCAAAGAAGTCTGTGAGGGACTTTTCGAGGTCTAGCTGGTTGTTGAAGGATTTCCCATGAAGATAGTTTTCCAGGGAATGGAAATGCTGGTAGTCTGTTGGCACGCGGTCTGGGGAGTATGGTGGATGGGGCCCAGCCCAATTGCTGGATCGTGTCCCTGGCCCTCCAAGCCACATGTGGCCTTGCACAGTCATGGAGGAGGACCAATAGGACTGACCAATGCTGGCTCTTTATGCATTAGTGCCTGATGCACACGTTCCAACTGCTGCGAGTACAGGCCTGCCATAATGGTTTGGCCCACTGGCAGGAACTCATAGTGCACCATTTGGTGACTAGTCCACCAGATTCAGAGCCTGATCTTGCACGGGTGGAGAGAAGGTCTCGCAGTGTGAGGCACAGGGTCCCATGGTGACAACCAATGTCTGGAAAGCCTGGGTGTGTCATACTGGACCCACTTTTCATCGGTGATAAGTACTCGATCAAATATGGATGCATTGCGGTGCCGAGTAAGCAATGACAAACAGGCAGCGACACGTTGTTGCTTGTTTGCATCAGACAGTAAGTGGGGTACCCACTTGCTCAGCTTGTATGCCTTTCCTATGTGATGCAAATGGAGTCCGATCATTTCATCAGATTTCTGGAAGTGTGCAGCAAGCTCACCATATGTTTGGCTACTGTCACTCTCTACAGCTGCTCTCACGGCCTCATCGTCCAGCGCTTGTGGCCAACTGCTGCGTGCATCACTAAGAGACATATCCCCTGACCTGAACTTCTGGAACCATTGCCTAGCAGTTCATTCGTTAACTTCATTCCCAAAGGACTGGCAAATTCGTTCACTTGATTCTGCTGCTGATCAGCCCACTTTAAAATCATATAGCAAACAACTACAAATGAGCACCTTTGGCACACCCATTTCAATTTGTTGCGAGTTACGTTTGAAGTATCGATGCAATGCGCTTTTATACTCTTGGTCAATGTCCGGACTCCCATCCTAACCACTTCATTGACAGATTTGGCTCCTATTTTTATGTTGGGGTTCACTCTTCCAATGTCATATCAAAAATGGCAAGAACCTTTTTGGTTACCTTGTAATTACTCTGGTAATTTAAAATAATTAATACCTAAATTTTTTGGAGCATTTGAAGTTACTAACACTTATATTTAGTATATCTAACAAGTTAATTTATGTGCACTGAATAAAAGTTTTTTCATTTTTGGAACACATCTATTATAAAATTATTTTTAGCCTTCAAAACACCATTTTCACTGGTTGATATTAACTGACACTTTATCTAAACTTGAAAAGTACTTTCTTTTTTAAATCAAAAACTAAAAAAAAACTGATTAATTGCTTATCTTCTACTTGCGGCTATAGTGTCTCCAAAAACCTTTACTAACTTCTTAGACAAATCACATTAAACAGTTACATTTTCAGATTTTTTTTTTTTTTTAACAATCCAATGATTTTATAAACATTTACAAATCATAATTTTTGGCAATCAACATTCTAATATTTGAAAATAACTGTCAGTAGGTTAGTATTAATGTAAACTTTTTGACATACAAATGGAAACCAATAATATAAAAAATACTTTTGTGCTTTATTAGAATGCCCCTACAGATGGAAAGTAGTAATTATGGCTTGAAGCAACAGGACAATACTGCAAATATATCAACATGCAATAAAGATGCATTATTTACATAAGTGTCCAAAAGTTTAGCATAATTGATGTTTACGTGAATATTTAAGGAAATCCAAGTCAGAATGGGAAAACATGATATGCGAGCGTAATATGGTTATAACATAAGAAAATAATGCTAACGAAGGCTATTAATCCCTTTTATTATCCAAAGAATTTATATTTGAAAGAAAACAATGTAAACTAATAATTTGTACTTAAGTGAAAAAAAATTAAAATAAAAAAGTTATTTGGAAGTTTAATATGGCGTGTGGTTGCCTCTAGTAGCCACATAGGCTGCACAATCATTGTCCATTGTGCAGCACATGTGGCTCTCATAGCTGCCATGCTATGACAGTGTGGATGAGTTGTGGCCACAAACAGATCCAAGCATTAAGGAGAGCTCTTTTCAGTTCTATAACACAGTTTGGTGGATGTGGACGGCTCAATAGGTTTAGGATCAGAACAGTGAGTAGGACACTGCATGCATTGGATATTTTCACTTTTAAGGAAGTTGTCAACCAGGATTGCACAGTGACAAGGCACATTATTATCCATGAATATGAATCCAGGACCAACAGCGCCTTGAAACAGGAGAACATAAGAGTCAAGGACTTTCTCTCTGTGCCTTTTAGCAGTAACAGACCCCCGTGTCAAAGACATGAAGGTTTGTATGACCAACCAACATTATGCCTGCCCACACCATGATGCCCTTTGAAGGAAAATAATGTCTTTCCATGATGTTTTTTGGGTGAAAATGAGTTCCATGTTCTTTCCATATCATTACCTTATGAGAACCAATGTTCAAAATAAACTGAGACTCATCACTGAACATCACATTGGCTCACTCTTGCAAACTTCAGTGCTGATGTTTGAAACTCCAGTTTAGAGAAGCACTTTTATGCACAGGCACGATAGGCATGCAAATGGCTAATCATCTGGCATACAGACCAGCATGACTGATTTTCTTGTACACAGTTTGTCTTGAAACTTTGCTCCTGTGGCGGCTGTGTGAACTGAACCAAGTTCTCAGCCATAATTGTCCCTCTGACATCACACAGTTTTCACCAAATATCATCTTGATGAATGATTATTACTCTTGTTTGACCTTGTACTGGTTGTTGAGTAACATCTCCTGCACGTTGAAACCTCTGTCACAGTCTTGAGATCACACACTGAGGCACATTCAGAATTTAACGCACTTCTGTTTGAGATTGTCCACATTCCAGCATTCCAATAATTCTTCCTTTCAAAAACATGTCCATTTTGCATTTTTATGTCATCCTTCAGTATTTTTGATCGTTTAACTCACTCCTCAGCACAGCAATTGCACATAACCTGCCTGATCTTCATATGACACGAGAAATTGTTTTATAATCTTTCTGATCTGTGTTTTGCACATGGCGACATTGACTGAAATGTTTTGCATATGCACACTGTTTCACCTTCAAACAATGATTCTCCACAAGTAATTTTGAATAATTTAATTAATATTTATGAATTATGCTTAACATTTTTGGACACCAGTATATTTATGTCACAACAGACAAATATCTCAACTAAAAAAGTGGTATATTAATAAATTGTGCCTCGTTCTCTCTAGATCCTTACATGCTTATCATCTGATTCCAGGGCAAATCCTGATGCATCCTCAAAAAGGATGTTGTGCCAATTTGGGACAGTCCAATCAAGATGCTGATGACACTACCTTAATCTCACCTCTTTGGAATGAACAGTTAGTGGAACACGAACACTCAGTACTCGGACATACAATCCCTTCATCTGAAAACTTCGGCACACAGTACTGATCTTAGCAAGTGATGCTGCAAGCATGGAAGTAACAGTTGTCAGTTGTGGAGGCTGCTTGTCAATTCCACTTGGCTACTGTAATAATATTTCAATTTTCAGAAAAGGTGGCAATTCTTAGTCGAGTAGACACAGCACTCCAGACAAGTGTCTGACTTGCTTGGGAGTGTTTCCACAGTCAAGAAATTGGTGAATGAACCACAGAAAAGAGTCTGACATCATTGATTAGGTGTCCTGTTTCAATGCATCCCACAATATGTCAGTGTTCACTGTCAGCCATTTATCTTCTTCTGGCAAAACAAACTTGGATATCCTAAAAAATTATCTTACAAAACCCATAAACACTGTATATCAGAATTTCAATAAACCTTTCCAAATTCTTCAGAATGCAAACATTCTTCAACAACAGCATACGTTCTGATAATCAATCATGATTGGCTGTAACATATGATATTAGTATAGTGTCAATTGCATCTGCAATTCATTTGAGCAACTCAATTTAAATTAATTATTATATTACTAATTTGCATTGTGTGCTTATGCTGGTGCATATTACAATTAAAAGACTATTTTTCAGTTCAATAATT